TCCCCGAGCCCAGATGGCTCTAGATGTTGGCATGCTGGGAGCAGCGCGTAGTGTCCTGAAGGTTGTACTTTATTCTGGCTTCCGAGGAAGCGGTGGGATTTGTGAAAAGGCTTCGATTTCTTGGGAGATCTTGGTAGAACGCTGGCAGAAAATGGGTGCGCTCCGGTTCGTGGTTTTCTGTTTCGCAGTTGCAAGACATGACAATCAACACCATGTGTTCCTTTGATCTCGCCACCCACGGAAGTCACTGCAACAGCTGGGGGGGGGGGGGAGTTAGGGGGCTGTACTGGCAGCCGACACCCACACTGTGTTTCAAAAGAAGGGAACTTTATGGGTCCCTCTATTTAAAACCTGTGGTTTGGGGAGAAGATTATAGCCTGCCAAAGTCAGGAAGACTTGTACAGAACAGTAGCCCAAAGGCCAGGGCCACCCTAATCCCTAATCTGCTCAGTCCTGCACCCAGGCTCCCTGACAGCCACCTGGGAGCGACTGGGCCCAGGTGTGCAGAGCTAGGGAGCTGGCAAGGGGCAGCTCTTCCCCAAGGATGGGCCAAAGGACCCAGGAGGAGGCCGCAGCCTAACAGCTGTGTTTCTACCAGCCAAGGAACAGTGCCCATCAGTCGTTTTATTTTAAGTGCGGCAAACAAAAACCTGCAGGGAGAGACTCCAGCTAAAAATTATTGTAAAATGTGGTTAACAGTAACTCCCAAGTTCTGAAACAACTACTTTCATTAATTTGGGGTTAAGCAAAAGCTATTTGGTTCAAATCCACTTAGAAAATCTTTCTGCCCAAAGGTGAGGATGCGTGAGACAAGTTTCCTGTTCTGTGATTTGGCTTGTAATGCCCCATCGTGGTTTTGAATGTCGGTTGGGTCCATGAGGACAACGAGCTGGAAAACCTCTCTGGTACATGCCCTGTTTCTGTCTGGATTTTTAACTATTCGTCGAAGGTTATTTCGTTTGCTTTCTCCTTTCTCTCGAGATTCTTTAAAGATCTGACAAAGTTAGCAACTGTCTGGCTGCCTTTCTACCCAGGTATCCAGGCAGCACTTACTGCCCAGGCTCCTCTGAGAGCCGCAGACCACCTCCTCACAGTCATGACTGCCCTGGGATGCTCTCCTCTGATATAATGACTCCTACAGCCCGGTTTCTGCTGATGAGTAAACCAAGGCACAGAGACACGAGGGCACCTGGGGCTCAGTTCCAGGAGTCCGTCACCAGCCTGGGTTGACGCCCTGCACAGGCGTGGTGAATAGGACAGCTCAGGAACCTCACAGAGCTGGCTTCCTCTTCTCCTTCTTCTTAAAATTCCACCATGAGTGAGTAACCACGCCCAAAACCATGCTTCCTCTTCAGGATGATATGACTGTAATGGTGCTGCACATGTCTTTGTTAGTCATCCTCTCCTTGTCTTCCTCAGTTGTCATTCCTGAGTGAAGAAAGTAATCGGATGACTTAGTTAATTTCTATTAAGTAGTCATCCAGCGGTAAGATGCTTCTGTTGGTCCAAAAGAGACCCTGAAGGAAGCTGAAACCAGCTGAGTTCGGGGGCTTGGAGATGGTTTTACACCACAGTGAAGGCACCAGGATGCCCTGTGCTCCAGCCACGCAGAGAGCCAACAACAGCTGGTCCTTCCTCCAGAGCAGACTCCCAATCTCCCGAGTGTGTAGTGGTCCAGCTGGACCAGAGACACAGACCCAGGAGGAGATGCATAGCTGTGACTTATTGCAAGAACCGGGCTGGGGAGGTGACCAGAAGGGAGGGAGGCTGGAGCTCTCAGCGTGCGCTGAAGCTGCCTCTGCAGAATCGCCCTCATGCTCCAGCCAGGTAACTCATATTCTGAAGCCATTAGGAATGTCCCAGGCTCAGTCATTGTTAAAAATTCAAAAATGTGGTCTGTATGTTATTTTACCCTGGATTCTGTGACCACCACTGAGTAGGTGTGAGGCTCTATTATAAAAATTAGATAATCAGAGGACGGGGACAAACAGATGTGGGTGGGGTCTCTGGGATATATAAAAAATTCTAAAACTCGGTAACATAAAACAAGCCACACAATGGAAAAAGATGTGAGAGGACAGGCTGGCCTGGAGGAGAAAACCCAGCCAGGCTAATAAAATATGAGGAGTTTTATCCACATGTTATCAGGGAATTGAAAATCACATCAATGGGAAAATTTTTCATATCCATTGTACTGGTAAACAATGTTGAATTCTGACTCACATTGTTATGAGTAGGAGGGTAAAAAAGAACAGACACTTTAGAGAAGGATCTGGAAAAGTTGGAGATGGATGTGTCCTATGGCCAGAAAAGATGGTTACCCCCTATGACCCTGGGGTCTCACTGGGGAGAATCTGGTCTCTGTGTGTGACGTACATACACAGGATGCTCATGGAAGCCATTTCTAAAAACTTCTTAATTTGAGATAATTGTAAGAAATCATACAGAGAGATCCATATACCCTTCATAACATGCAAAACCATAGAACAATATCACAACCAGGAAATGAACACTGATACAATTCTGTCAACTGTACTGAGGTTTCAGGTTTCACCAGCGTGCATGCGGGGTGTGTGTGCGTGTGTGCTCGAAGTTCTGTGTAATTTTATCACATGTGGAATTGTGTGACCATCCGCAGTCACATATGACAGTTTCATCACAGGGTCCCTCACGCGGTCCTTTAAAACCACCGCCATCTTCCCTCTTCTCCCTCCCTGAGCCCTTGGCGTGCACTGATCTGTTCCCCATTTTCCATAATTTCATCATTTCGAGTATTCTATCCAAGTGAAACCTTATAATGTGTAACCTTTTCAGATTGGCTTGTTTTCATTAAACACAATTCTCTTGAGTGTATCTATAGCTCATTCTTTTTCATTGCTGAGTAGTATTCCCTGGTACAAATGGACCACCACCCACACCATTCATGGGTGCATCATTGCTCATAGAACCCCTTACTATTCTTCTAACAGTCACAGGGTCTATAGTAGGAGCCTCTGTTTCATTCTTGATAGAGGTGATTTTTGTGTCTTCTTTTTTTGTGTCAGTTCTGCTAAAGAATGATCAATTTTATTGATTTTTTTCTCTAAGAACTAGCTTTTTATTTCATTGATTTTTCTCTGTTTTCATTTTCATTGGTTTCTATGCTTATCTTCATTATTATTTATTTCTACTGTCTTTGGGTATATTTAACTCTCTTAGTTTCTTAAGTTAGAACTTATATTATCAATTTGAGACTTTTTCTCTTTTCTGATATAATCATTTAGTGCTATAAATTTCCCCCTCAGCACTCCCTTAGCTATGCCTACATATTTTAATGAATAAAGATTTTGATACTAAAAAAGAGAGAGAAGCAGACAAATGGCCCATGAGTAGGGTTATGGATATATACTATGATGTAGTCATAGGAGTTAAACTAAATTACCTAGAACTTTAGGTATCCACATAGCTCAAGTTCAAAGTAACAGTGTTGAATGGGAAACATCACATTGCTAATGAATAAATATGGTATGTTTATTTCTTGGAAAAAATATACATCTTCCTATATAATAAAAGGCTAATATGAAAATTGTCCCCTCAACCAGGAGTTCAACCAGGGGACGGCCAGCCCCGCCCCAATCGGCCTCCCCACCCCAGGGCCCCTCCCCAAAGCTGGCCCCACTCCCAATTGACCCCACCCATGCATGAATTCATGCACCGGGCCTCTCTATATATAAAAGGCTAATATGTTCATTGTCCCTCTGACCATTTGACCAGTTACTATGATGTGCACTGACCACCAGGGGGAAGACACTCGAACTGGTAGGTTAGCTTGCTGCTGAGGTCTGGCTGATTGGGACTGGGCGAGATGGGCTGGACATGCCCTGGAGCCCTCCCGTGGTCATTCCCCAGCCCCAATCATGCACCGGTGGGGTCCCTCAGCCTGGCCTGCGCCCTCTCACAATCCAGGACCTCTTGGGGAATGTTGGAGAGCCGGTTTTGGCCCAATCCCCACAGGCCAGGCCGAGGGACCCCATAGGTGCACGAATCCGTGCACCGGGCCTCTAGTAAATACATAAAACACTATGTGTTGTGATTACATGCATGTGTAATAAATATAGAAATCCAGCAAGGCAGGGCTGTCCACCAACCTGAATTACGACATTACCTCAATCAGCATGCTGTTGAAGCCAGTGCATTTCATAACACGAAACAAATGGCTCTTGCAACTATGTTTGCATTTTACAAGTTTCAGTCCACACCAAGAAGAAGCCTTATGCCCTCAGGAAAAGAAGCCGGAGGGCTCTGACCAGATCACATTTCCTGTGAGAAAGCTTTGGCTTCATCCTCAGAGAAACTCCCCCACACGCTGACGGTGTCACCCCTCTGTCACCACTGATCAGCCACTGACCCAGTTTCAAAATCAGTGTTGTTCTGATGAGGTATGTCCTATCACATCAAGAGCGCTGCTTCCCCTTCACTTTCCTGAGGGCCCTCGTTCACTGCTTGCACCATGCTGGCGGTGGCCCCAAACTTTAGGGATCAGATGACATGGAATGTCCCCCGTGACATGAGATCCCTGGCCCCAGGCTCAGTCCTGCCCACCCCTCCAGTCAGTGCTGCCCTGCAGGCAGGAGCACAGGCAGCTGCCAAGATGGCTCCTCCCACAGAGCTCACCCAGACACACCAGGCCACATCCACATCACCCGCCAACCTAAACAGAGAAAGAAACTCTCAGCGCTACCCCCGCTGCATCTGGAGTCTGATCTGGAAACCGAGAGGCAACACACACCACACACTCGCCTGAGTCAGTGAGGCTGCCAGCAGGGGAGGAGCTGGCTGGGAGGCAAGAGCAGGCTCCCACCAAAGCACTAGCAGAGACACCTGCCTGGACTAGGTCTTCTCACCAGGCTATGGGGCAGGGTGGGCGCTCATGTTTCCCTGGGGGTTTGCCAATCACCTGCATACATTTAACCCAGAATTCTTACTCAGTGCAGTCCTAAGCCCCTGTCTCGGCCACACCACACCACACCACACCACACCACACCACACCACACCACAGTCTCAGGGCTCGGGCCCAGGAGTATGTATTTAAATGAGCTCCCAAGAAGTTCTTTATGCTTACTGATAGTCTGGCTCTACGTTAGAAAGAATGACTCATGGAAAATAAAGTTCTATGCTGACGGTATATTTTCATTTATATGCTTATTTTTGATGCATTCCCCACAGTTAAGAGGATGACATTTTTTCCTCATGCCTTGTGCATGCCAGCATATCTAATGAGGAATATTTATGGACACTCATGCTCTTCATCTGGTTTCTCGCATAGTTGAAACCCAACATTTCTTGCTAAACTATGAAAGCAAGAAGTGCAGAGCTATGTTGCAGGCTTCCGAAATAGAGCAAACACATGGTTACTTTTTAAAACCTCGCTGCCCGTGTGGTGTGCTGTGCCATGCATAGCCATGGACATGGAGATAACGTAGATGGAGTTCTTGCCCTGGAAGTGCTTTAGAGCGTGAGGAGGGGACTTGGAGGTCACAGTTTCCCGGGGGGTGGTGGTGGACCAGTTTCCCGAGGCGGAATATTTCTAAGTGCCCTGGGATGTGTGCGTAAAACTCCGCGGGGCTTTGAGGACGGGCTGCACTGGAGGAGGGATGGAGGCTCCCTGGCTGTTTGGAATCAATGCTGGCTGCAAAGTCTATTCTGCCCTGAACACAGCTACCCCGGTTGCCTGCCTGTCCCTGGCCTGCCTGGGTGTTGGTCCTCAGAACTGCTTCCCAAAGTCCCGTTCATGGAGGGGCTGCTCCCTCACCTCCCAGATGTCTGCCTTCCCGCACAGCTTGCAGCACCAGAGACTCTCCCCTTCGTTTCGGGACCTTTTTGTTTCTAGGGGGCTGAAATGTCCCACAACGCGCTTACGTGCTGG